AGCTAAGGGTGTAAAAAGCATTTTAAAAAGGAAAAGGCTGCTACAATAGAGAGCTACACTTTGGAAGAAGGATCCATCTTCCACTGATCTTCAGTCTGTCCCTTTAGTGAAGGAAGAAATGTACCTGAAGCAGGAAGTGTGACAGTAATACAGAGTTGCTCTGTTCTGTTCTGTTGGATGAAACTTTTTTCTCCATGTGATGTAACATACTCAATCTGGGAATGTTTGCAGTCTCCTAGAAATTTCACCATTAAGATAAGTGTCTACATTCTGTAAGGAACACACACTAAGATGGATATTTATGGTAAATCTTGCTAAATGCTAGTTATTCTGAAAATTAAAACAAATGACCATTTTAAATGTCAGCTCCAAATTATCTTTGAAAATCTCTATTATATAGTGACGTGTGTCTCACATACAGCGTTACTTCTACCTCTGATATAAATGACATATATTTTCAATATGTTAGATTATTATAATGGAGCATAAACAGGTCTTTGTAAAACATCACTTAGGCAGCTGCAGCTTATCCAAAATGCTTATATGAATTGTGCTAAAAAATAAACTTGTTTTTGCTGAGGTTTTTTCTTTTTTTTTTATGTGTCTTTCCAGCTTTTTATAATGTGTTTGGATTTTTTATTGCTTTGCAGATCTGGTGTTTTCCTGGCTCTCAAAGGATGTGGCCTTAACAGATTTCTTCCACCCATTATTCTCAGTGTGTGTGTGTGCGTGTATATATGTGGACATGTCCGTGTATTGTCCGTTCGAGTTTCAAGATGCACATTGACACACTCGCATGCATACTGCCAAAACTGACACAATCTGTTTTTCGCACTCCCAGCCATGACTACAAGCTCAAATGTGAAGAACTTTTTTTTTTTTTTTTTTTTTAAGTTTTGGTTTGTTTTATACATGTAATATTTTTATTTTCCTTTTTTGGTTTCCAACACGATAATTGAACACCAGAGTACTTTTTGTCCTTTCAACACTTTGGGACTACACACACTGCCAAGAGGTGCTCTGGTGGAGGAATAAAAAGGAGACCTATACAAACACAAATTAAATCAAGGATTTGTGCCTAATTGTTACATGTTTTCTATTTGACATTAAGGCAAATTGCTTTACATGTGAGGAACATTTGTGAGGGATTGCTTATGTGTATGAGCAGTTATTTTTTTAAATGTATGTCATTCCCAGCGTGATGGTACAGTCTTACATATGTTATGTAACTCACAGCTGGAGTTGAACTGTCAAAATTCAGTGACTTTTCCTCGAGCGCGTGGAAAGTGGCGGAGAGTCGGCCCCCGATGTTTTTGACATTTCAAGTGCAGCTTACCTGAAAGATGGGAACGCCAACCAGACGTGGTCTCAGACCCTCCCTCCACCCCGCCGCCGCGAGGCATCTGGAGGCTTGGAATCAAAGACTTCTTCCTAGAAAGTTATTTGTCCAAGTGAAAGAGTCGGTCAACAAAACAAAACAACAAAAAAAAAACAGTTCTTCCGCTTTTGTTGACCAGGCGTTCTCGCGTTTCTCCAGCAAGCCCTTCGTCACGCATTCAGGTTTTTGTCCTGCTTTGTGTTGTAAAGCATACACGGACGAGACGAAGCACAGTTGTACAGATTTAGGCTTGACCTGCGTCACATTTCAGTCCCTGAAAGTCTTGTATTAAAGCCATCAAAATCATCTGTGAGCGACCAGCACCACTTTTTGTGCTGCTCCTTCCTCGACATGGTTTACTGACGGTGCCAGCGGACTCGAGTCTTTCCCAAACCCCCCCCACCCCCCTTTTATTCATGTACTTTAAAAGGCAAACAAATCCAGGAGGGATTTTTTTTCTTCTCTCAGTCGAAGCAGACGAGCCTTTTGTGTAATTCCTAAACGAGCATTCCCGCTGAATTACGAACCCTTCACCTTCCTCCCGACCGTCAGCGTGTTCTCCCCTTTCTTACTGAGAGAAGTGTGACCTGTAAATTCACTTCATACATTATTCTGTTTCATTTTTCAAAAGTAAATATATATAAAAATATATATTTTTTGTTAGTCTATACATTGTAGATTTTTTACATAAATGGCAATATTAGTTTGAAGTTTAGAGTGTATTGTAGATGAGCTGTATAAGGGGATATTTAACATTTAAATGATGTTCAAATTTTAATTTGAAATTAAACTGGGATGCCAGGAAAAGGATCGACAAGATGATCAATGAGCGTGTTTGTAAATCCTTTTATTGTCCCAGTTTTAGTTCAAAGGCACATCAATAACTACTAAGTTGAATGCCTTCTTTTCCATTTGGGCATATCTGGACAGAGTTTGTGCCACAGTCATGTGACAAAACATCAGAAGGGATTTCTTTTCTTTTTTTCTTGTCTCCAACAGTAATTATGCAACTGGTTTTTGAATGTAGCTACCATGCTAAATGTGGATTTGCCTTCATTTTCAAAGTTGTTTCTGGGTTTTGTTAGCACATTGTAATTTCTTTTCACTTTTTTTTTAAATGTCTGCCCTTAAACCAAGTAAGTCTGCGTCTAAAGGTAGATGTCTGGATTTGGGTGTAAGGTAATGGATATTATTGAGAACAAAACAGTGTTATTGTGATGTTATTCCCATGTCATGTTAATTATTTCTTTCTTTTTTTACCAACATGTAATCACAAGTGGGAGGTAGAACATTTTGTGTGTTTCATTTCTACAAAAAAAGGGAAAAAAAATATGAAGAAAAAGACATATACAAATCAATAGTGTGGCCTTTTCATTCTCAAGACTTAAGATGTCACGATGGGAGAGTGATGCCTTATCAGTGCCTGAACTTGTATTTTTTTTTCCATTTAAGACAGTTTTATGTTGTGTACCATATCATTTCATTTATCTTGGAGATTAAAGAGGTACTTGTTCATTCCCCTCCACCCCCATCCTCCCTTTTCTCCAAATGCTTTTTTTCAATTTTTGAGGAAGAAGTTTAAATGGTATAAAGAGATTTTCTTTCAGTGTACCTAGTTAAATAAATAAATGTTAAGCAGATCTTGTTTAGTTTTTCTTTTTCTCTGCTGTCTGTTCAACTGGATTACATTGTCCAACCTGCTGTTTTCATTAAGGTCACTGGTCCAGGTTAATAGGTACCCTGTAATTACAAAATTCACATGAAAAGGTTTAAAAAAAGAAAGGGAAAAAAAGACTGCATCATCCTCTGATCCATTATCTGCATAGACATGTTTCGGGTGTGTTGCTTCAATGTAGGGAGGGAGTTTTTGTTCCTGCATTAGCTGAATCATCTGAATAGGAGTATTTTATAACTTGTTTGCAGTGGCTTTCAATATGTGTAATCAGTAGTTATCATTGTTATCAGACCTGAGCTTAATTTTCAGTTTGTTTTCTTTTTGTGACTTTGACATTGAGATTTTTTTTATATATATATATCAGATAAATTTTCACAAAATCACTAGGTGTACTGGATATCTGAAATTTTTTCAAAGAAAAATGTCTAAATGTGGTTTATATTTGCCTCTAAATGACACGCCTAAATTTTGTAGTGGCACAAATTTCACTCATTTCTTCAGAAACTTGTAAAGTTTGGACTTCTCTCGACAATAGCAAATACTGATTTCATATCAAGCAAAACATTTTCAGGTTTTTAATGACATTATTTAGCTGAACTATAAAGGGACGCGACCAATGAGTGTTAAATACATTTACAGAGTTTGTAATTCTGGGTTGAGGACAGTGTTGACTTCTTTCTGACTCGATCACTCTTCTATTTACATACAAATAGATGAGATTTGTCCTGTATATAACATTAATGTAGCAATAAATGTGCCATTTTTAACAACAGATTATACCTTTTACAATGTCTGGCTTTTGAATATTGTATACATAAAAAAAAATAAAAGGAGTCTTTTTAATAAAAGAATTTATTGTAGTTCGGAAATTGAATTTGTTTTAATTGCCAATTAAATATATTTGGGAGAACTGTACAGATAAATCTCAAATTAGAACATAGTTAATTGATTTGAATAATATAAGTTACACTGCAATACATGTATTGCAGTGTAACATTTCAAGTATTTAATTATTAATTTTGATTAGTATAACTTTTTGTTTTGTTTATGGCTCTTGGAATGACTGACTATAATCTACACCTTGAGAATCTCCCCCATACTCTCAAATGGGGTTTACTTCACAATCCTTCCCAGGTTGTGGTTGTCCCTGATGCTTGTACACAGTTAGTTCTTTCTTCCACTCAGTTTTCCAGTAACGTGCTTGGGTACAGCCAGTTTCTTAATAAATGTACTGTTGTGGATTTTTCTAATTATAGAGGGATCGGTAGTATCTTTGTATTAAAGAAAATTAAATAAATTTCTGACAAAACCAGGTTTTATTGGCTACAAGCCATAATCAAAATTTACAGAAACATTTGAGCATCTTCAGTTTGAGTGGATTGACGTACTCCATCTAGAGTGGGGATTCTGCATGAAATATGACTCACAAGATAGCCCTGCAGAAGATGGTGAAGGAAGCTGAGAACGTCACTGAAATGCCCCAACCTTTTGTCTGTTTTAGAACTTCTGAAGGAACAGGACTGGAAATTGTTAGCCTCCTTACACCATCTTCATGAACTGTTTAAATTGCTGGCTTTTAAAGGAGAAACGGCACCACCAAACTGCAACATAGATTTCTGCCTTAAGCTGTAAAATTACTGAATAGCTATCTGGAGATTTGTTGTAACAGAAAATTGTGTATTTTATAGTATCTAGCTCTGTTCATGTATTTTGTTTTTTAATTTATAATTTTTAAGGGATTTTTGTTGTTGTTACACCAATCTTTAAGAAATGGGGTGTCGTTTTTTAATATGTCATTAAATATTTTACCCTCCCCCAAAAAAAGATGTTAATTGGATGATAGTTGGGAAGACATTAATTGTTTGGTGTCCACAATTGGTCCTGAGAGAAAACCTGATAAGATTTTTCTGAACGCTGTGTATTTGTTTTTGTGTTTTATAGACAGGCATTACAAGGGGCAGCTTGAAACGGGTCCTTCAAATCCATCACTTCAACGTTCGGCCGCTCTCATGTTGTGATTAGTTTTCGAGAAGAAAGTCAGAATGATTCAGAAAATACTAAATAAATTTGTTGGTGCCAAATATATCTCAATTCTGAGGACATGGTAAGTCACTATAACGCTATAACAGGCTGAATTTTGAAGATAATTATTGTCGTTTTTTTCGCGGTAGTTGACCCTGTATCCTATGTGACCCGTCTAACTCACTTTAGCTTAGCTTGGGTATGAATTAAACCTGCTTCATGGCGCAGTTAATTATTAACTTTTAAATCTATGAGGTATGTAGTTAGCCATATGAGGACTCTGGGTGATTCTACTCTCAAAGGCTTATTTTAAGTTAACTTAAAATAACTTATGCTAAGCTCATAAGTCTAAAATTGTCTATTTATTGTTCACTTGTTAGGTATAATAAAATTCCCATTTAAATCTGGTAGTTCTTTTTGTATAGTTGCTTGCTGCACTAGATATCTATTCAAAGAGCATTAAAAATGATTTTAGATTATGTAAAGATCATAGAAGCTACAATTGAGTTTCAAATCGGTCAGTAATTTTGTGCCAACTTAGTGAAAATATACAATAAAAATCTGTAAACATTAAGATAACGAACCCCTTTTTGGATTAAATAAGTATTATGGTAGATATAATACTATTACTCAGTAATACTAATCTAATGACAGCTTGAAATCATCACACAGAAACTGGAGCTCCAAATTTGTAAGATATTTTGCATAATGGATATTGGTAAAAAAAATAAATAAATAAATAAAATGCAGTATCACAACATGACAGAAGCTGCTCAACAGTTTTAACATCAGAATAAGTCCTGACCAAGTGTTGGTCCCTACATTTCTGGAGAGGCTTCATGTTCATGCCTTCAGATTAGCTCAAACATCGCTTAGTATATCATGGGCAAACATCTGCAACCAAGTCCATTGAGAAGAAGCACATTGCACCCTAGCTCAGTAGAGTGGAGTGATGCATTGTATCCCTCTGTCAACCCAGTGGACTATTCTGGTTTTGACTGGTTCCCAGAGAGCAACATTTGCTGGACTACGTTTTTAAGGGCTTTTTAAAATTCAGTAATCTGTGATCGGCCAGAATACTGCAATCGGTGCACCACCGATTTAATGACATCTATTTGACATCAAAATTCATTTACTCATTTTGCCAACAGAGTCACAGGTTTAAGTGTGTCTGGCAAAAGCAGATAATGTGTTTTTATTGAAAGCCACTATTTTTCAACTTTTAAAACATTTCTTTTAAACCTTTATTATGACACATAAGTCATTCCTTTTATAGAGTTCATTGTGCTGCAGCATGATCACAGTAAATTGCAGGTGGGCGAGGGACAGTCCTGCAACACAGGAGGTGGTGTTGATTCATGCGTTGTATTTTACAGTCAAATTTGACCTTTTTTAGAAGTCCTCGTGTTTTCCTCCATCTCTAGGGTACCAAATATGGTTGCCTGGGGAACAGTTGGCGGTGTGGCGGTCATTCACTTCACCGACTGGCGGTTAATTCTGGACTATGTGCCGTATGTTAACGGGAAGTTTAAGAAGAACGAATAAAGAGAGGTGTAGGATGTGAGTCTTTTGTCCTTGTATTCAACACAGTTTGTTTCTCCTTATGAATTACCTGTGAATTTCAAGCATAGTGTTTATAAGTTTTAATCCAGTCTGGCAGCTCTTGATGGACGCAGGGCATGCTGGGTAAATTAACACAAGCTTCTGTGTTAATTTAATATTGCCGCAACTTTGCTAACATCTGTCACATGAAGTTTTAATTTAGTTAAATTTAAAACTTTGGAAATGTCCACACCTCCACCAAGCCGAAGGTCCAGACCCCTTTGTGCAAAGCAAGCGTAGAAGAAGAGGAGTCTATATTTACATAAAATTATAAAACTCTATTATGAGAATTAATTATTTTTTATTTCAAACAGAAAATAAATAATTTCTGCTGCAGTTGATTATTACAATCAAACAGTTGGGGTATTTTCTATAGACCTAACCAAAAATAGGATGGACAGAAAATGTATTAGTGGTTTTCAAGTGCTACTGTGCTGAATATTATCCCACTCGGTCTTTGTTGTAAGGAAAAATATGTAGGAGCCTTGTTACCAACTGTGCACAGCAACAGGTGGGAGAGGGACAGTCCTGCACTCTTTCATGCGTCACACAGCAGGAGAAAACTCTCCAGCACTTTTCTTTCTGGTATCAAATCAGAGAAATTTTTATTTAAAAAAAAAAAAAAAAAAGGCAGTTTTGAAACAGCAACTTTTTGAAAAACCTTGAGATGGCCTGGCCAACACCTACATAAAATCTTTATATTTTTTTGCTTTAAGCTGTTTAGTTTTATTTTTCGAAATTACGAAACACATGCAATAAATCACTTTGACATTTATTTTATTTTGAATATGCTTTCTGTGCTTTAGTTCTTTCTGTCTACTTATCATTTAGACACCTCTGGTCTTTGTTTCCTTTTTTAAAAATAATGGCTGTATAGGTGGAATAGTTTTATAAATATACTAATGTCTGAAATTATCAGCTTCATAATCATGTTTTCCTGAGTTGGATAGTGCAGTGCTTTTGACCCAATCAACAGATGTGCGTTTTACTTGATAAGCCAGGAGTGACCAAAGTTGGTCCGGCATCCTGCATGTTTTAGTTCTCTCCCTGGTGGTAGAAACAACCTTCTCAGGATGTCAGTGTTCTTCTTAAGCCATCCAATGAGCCATCATTGGATCCAGGTGCGTTAAACCAGGGAGAGAACTAAAACATGCAGGATGCCGGCCCTGGAGGACCGACTCTGGGCACCACTGCAATAAGCCTTGTATCTGCTTACAGGACCAGGACTCTGGGCACATGGCTGGACTTCTCTAGCAGCAAGTTTAAGTAGGATGGCTTGTCTCTGCAGGCTATACATGATGCACTCTGTAAAAATGCTTCTTTTTGATCCATTGTTGTAAGATGTGAATAAATTATTAATTTATCCTAATGTTTCCAAGATGTCTTGTAACTTTCAACTATTAAAAGGGTTTTGCTTAAAAATTTTGTCCTTTTTTTTAAATCATTGTGACAAAAATCTTCCATATTTAAACATCCTAGGTGCATTTAGGGAACTTTAAAAACTACAGAAAACAGTGTAGTGAACTTAAGGAGGGGGGAAAAAATACACCTGTAGCTTTCAACGCATGTTAAAATGTGTACAGAATAAAAGACAATAGCTGGAGTGTTACTGCTGGAGGACCAGACATTGAGCCTAGACGCACACTGCGATATTTGCGTGGATAATGTCTTTCATTTTTAACATCGGAGGGGGGAGGGGACTGAAAGAGGAGAGGGGAGAAGGGATTTAACACAGCAAGAGGCTGAAAGCGTGATAGTGTCCTCAAGATGGATAAAAACGAGTAAGTACACCGGCTAAACAATTAACAAAACGCCAGCAAGGGAGTTAGTTGCTGTAATTCTTATGTTTGGTGCCATTTTTAATATAGACATGGAAAGTATGTTTATCATCGATTAAGCAAACGCTGCGGTCTCGCTCTCTGCTAACAGCAGTCCGGTGGGGTCTCCTGAATCTCTGTCGCTCTCGTTTTTTTCCATTTAAACCACTGTTGCATGATTAAATGTTTCGTTTAAGCACATCGATATGTGTAGTGCATTGAAATGTGTTTTCAACGTAAGGAGTTAACCGTATAAAATACATGCAAGTATTTCTGGGTCGGTTTTAAAACGCGTTTACACAGAATCTCTAAGAACGTGACATGTATTTTACATTATTCGCCTTCATTTCACTGGATCTACTTTGTTCATTGAAATGAAAAAAGCCGGCTCCAAGTCTGAAGGGCAACCGTTTTCCTTTGCCGGGTGAAGGGCCCCCCCCCCCCTTTTTTTTTTTTTTGTCGTGTAACTTACGTAGAACTTGCGCATTTAAATTCACAATGCAGTGCAATTTATGAGTATATTTTTTATCACTGTTGCGGTAATGGAGGCTGTCATTGCTGCTTCGGGATTGCTCTACTTTCTGTTGTCACGTTTATGTTCTCCATACGTTAATGGAGATGTTATGATAGCTGCAAGCGTTCAAACAGAACAAAAAGCTGGACTTCCTTTACGTGTCAAAATAAAAGATAAAAGTTTGCTCGACAAATGAAATTTATAAACAGTTACGACTTGTGTATTTGTTAAGTTTATTTGTTGCTTATGGTTTAAGTCAGTGTTTTTCAACCACTGTGCCGCGGCACACTAGTGTACCGTGAGTGATCGTCAGGTGTGCCGTGGAAATTATCCAATTTCACCTACCGTATTTCCGGACTATAAGCTGCTACTTTTTTCCTACACTTTTAAACATGCAGCTTTTCTGTGGATTTTTCTTCAACCACCAGGGGGCTCTTTAGCAGGGAGTGAGTCATTGGAAGTCAAAATTGGAAATCAAAGAAGAACGCGCTAATTTTCATTTAAAAGAAGCACATGCTAACAGCAGGCACGACGGAGAAACGTTTTCAAACTCATATGATGCAGCTTCTAAGTTGAGGAGTATCGATCTGGCAGTACAGGAGGGAAATAAAGCCGCTGCACGTAAACTCGGCGAGAACAAAACCGGATTTGGAGACGGAGCACTGCGTCCTTAATATATCCATCAGTTATTAGGACGCAGGTCTCTGCTGGGTCCTTATGGGAAACTGAGAGCGGCAGAGATACCAGCGGCCTGTAGCCCGGTGCGGCTGATATATGCAAGTTTCCAGGAGGGGAGAGGTGGATTAAAAAAAACTTGAAGGTACGGTTTATAGTATGGTGCGCTCATAGTCCGGAAAATACGGTAATTGGTCTTAAAAGATTTTTTTTGAAAACGAATTATCTGCAAATAATCCCATCTTTGAGTGTCTGCAGTAGTAGTGACTAGTGGCGTAGTCATGTAATTTTATTATCACTAGATGGCAGTAGGTACAGAGCATTTTACATTAAAACAAGAGAATTAGTGACGCATGACTGTTACTAGAATATGGCAAAAAAATATGGCAAACCTTCTAATAAGCCTACTATTTCTATTAAATATTCTAACAAATATATTATTCAGTCATTTCTGGATGAATCGATTTTTCTGATTAATTGTAAATTGTGATATTTCTAAACAGTGCTGCTATCTCGCCAGATCCCTCTTGAAAAAGAGATTATAGATCTCGGCTAGGTTTAATCTGGCTTTAGATGTCTATGGTATGGTCTATGGACGTCTATGTGCAAGTTGAATAGATGAATTAAAAAATCACTCTACCACTGTAAATTCATGAGCGCTTTCAGAAAGATAAATGTATGAAGAATTCATAGAAGATTAGTAAGAGCTAAATCGGGTATTGGAAAAAGTATCTGCCCAGTTTTTTTTTGGTCACTTGGTTAATATTTTGTTCCAATTACTGCCTAACATGAGATTATTACTCAAGTTAAAGACAGATTTTTTTGTCTTAATTTTTTTTGTGAGCTCATGCTACTGTAAAACATTGCATATTTATGGGTTGCCATTTGACTGGCTGGGAATAGAAATGTGGGAGGGGAAAAAGCATGGGGTGGGAGAAAGATGAGAATTAGAATAATCCCATGTCTTGTTAGCTGTCTTGTTAAATAACACCCATGGTGACAATCTTAAAATAATATTAATAATAATGACAAGAAAACTATTGAATCTGGCATGTAGTTATTAAATTAGAATTGAGTACTGAACTTAAGGATTGCTTTTCTGTTATTCGATTTATGAAATTGTAAAAAGTAAAAAATAATGACTTTTGGAATAATGTCTGTTATTTGAGATAAACTAACAGGGTGGCTGTTCTGCTAATGTGTAGGGATGGCAATGGGTATCTTTCTGTCATTAAAATTTGAGGGACAGCTTAATTATATGTATTATTGTTATTGCTCCTTTCTACTCATCAAATTTTATTTTATTTTATTTTTTTACATTTTTTAAAATTAAATCAGGAAGAATAAAACTTTGTATGAATTAGTCCAAAATGGCAAACAATGGTATTATATTAGGCTGTGGCCACAATTTTATTTTTCTCTCATGCCACCAGAGGGGCTCCGTAGGAAACAAATTATTAAATGTTGATTTTTGTATTTACTAATTTGTTATAAGTCCATATGTTTAATTGTTTTTGTAGTTTCTAAACATCTGACCTAATTTCACTTTAGGCATTTCTAATGCCATTTAAACAAGGAAGTAATGAACACAAAATATCAGAATTATTAACGTGACAATTTTTATGTTGTCATATTAAAATGTTGATAGACTAAACGAATTACTGCGATTGGTGCTTCGTGACCTATATTGAGAACTCAACATAAATTTTTTGGATTTTTTTTTTTTTTTTTTTTTTTTCCAGAAGCTTTTCTTTTGAAGTCTTAAACCTGAAGCGTCCGGTCTCGCTCCGCGCTGCTCCGTTTTTCCTGTGCGGATGTAGTTCCAACGGTGACACGCAGGTGGTGATGGGGCCGATGTCCGCGCGGAGCGATCTCCGCAGCTACAAAGAGACGATATGCTTTTAGCCGGGAAATCCCATTACAGGGGGTACACGCTTTAAAATGGTTGAAACAAAAGCGTGAGAAGCTCCAGACCAGCCTTTCAGATTGCAGCGACACGTTTTTCCAAAATCCGACCTGGCTGTTTGCCGTAACTTTTAGCGGATTCACTGGCCAGCCGCGGGGGAAATGGAGAAGAAAAGGTGGGATTGCTCTGCTCTCCCCAAAGGCTGGAAAATGGAAGAAGTGACCAGAAAGTCGGGTTTGTCAGCTGGGAAAAGCGATGTCTATTATTTTAGGTACTAAACGACTGATAACTTGAAGTACACCACAGTTGCACCATACACCGAGATTGCGGACGGAAGCAGACAGGAAAATGAGCAGGGTGGTCGGTAAAGAAAAAAAAAAAAAAGTTTTGAAGGAAAAGGGGAGGGAGTTGTCTGTTTTTGTGGGAGGACAAGCAGGCCACCTCCTCCCAGAAGGGGTTCTTTCAGCCGTACAGGCCCGCCTGGGCCTCAATGGTCAACAAAAGTCAGTGTGATCTCCGTTAATAATTCTCTCTGTGTCCCATTGAAGTCAAGATTTGTTCTCATTTAGCAGAGGAGAAGAGCAAGATGAGGAACAGAGGCAAGACAGGGGGGAGGCGGGTCGGTTGTATAGCTTGTGGTAGGCTGACTGTACAAATCATAACAGTTGACGGTTCTGTGTCATGTAAGATGCATTTGCATGAAATACTAGCACGAATCCACCCACCGTGTTTCTTTGTTGTTCATTGATCAGGCTTAGAGATACTGATGCTCCTTTTAGGTACAGCTCTGCCATGTCTCCATTGTAAACACTAGGTGTTAGTTTTGCCATCTTTACTTTGTGTTCATTCATATCTGGTGGTACTTTTGTAACATTGTTCTGAATAATTGTTTTGTCATAATCATTTCTGACTAGTTTTACTAAAATTCTGTTGCTCTTCATTAGACAAAAGAACTTAATTTTGATTTTTTTTTTTCATAAAAAAATACATTCATTTCTGTGATTTCAGCATCATTGCTCGTCTAGATGTGTAAAAATGCTTTTGTTGCACGTTGTTGTGGTTCTATGTGTGGATGTGATGTCTGAATATCAGTCTTAGTATAAGTATAATAATAGTATAATAAGCCTGTGTCTTTTTCTTTTCTTTTCTGGAGCAACAGTTTGTACTAATACGGTCATATTTCTCATCAGTCCATCTGGGAAGAAGTTTAGGAGCAAGCCTCAGCTGGCCCGTTACCTCGGTAACCAGATGGACCTCAGCTCCTTTGATTTTCGCACGGGGAAGATGCTGATGAGCAAACTGAACAAGAACCGCCAGAGACTGCGTTACGACAACAACAACCAGAACAAGGTGAGGCGATTTTAAAATTTAGAAATATACATACATGCTCAGATGCACACACACACACACACACACCCCACTGATTTATAGATGAATGTCTCTTAGCAAGTTGCAAAGACAAAAACCACACCGAGCTTATGGGATAGTTCTGGCTTGATATTTGACCCATCTTCCTAGCAAACACTTCGCTGTAAAGCATTTATAATTCATGTATAATTCATATATAATTCAGGACAGGGCTTCCCAAAATCTTTGCAGGAGCCATCCTTTTTCTTTTCTTAGACCAATGTTGATGTGTTTGGCAGCAGTGTCCTGTCTACTTGAGATTAGGTTTAAAAATCTGGAGGGTATATCTATTTATTTTTTGGTTTTCTTCAGCAAATTATCCCTATAGCATGATGCTGCCACCACAACGCTCAGCAGTATTCTTACATTTCAAAGCATTGCCTTGACTTTTCCAAACATTCTTCTCATCGTGGCCAAAAAGTTCAATCTTTTTTTTCACCTGACCATAAAACTTTTACTTTTGCGGGAATTTGGCTTGTTCTCTGATCCGTTTTAATCCATATTCTTTTTTTATTTCTTTTTTTGTCTGGGTCAGATGGTTGAAACTTAGACATATTTCAGTGTTCAGATAAATGTAGGACTGATAAATGATCCCAAACACACATCCAAACTGGTTAATTAATAGGCAAAGGAGGTGCAACAAGCTTTTTTCTCTTAACAAAATATGTGAATATTTCATTGTGTTGATATTTGACACAACAGTTTTGTGTTTTTTAAGGACCCTCTTCATATCACAATTATACCGATGGGATCGTAAGCCAGGCGGTTTTGAGTGTTTGTTCACACGCAGCCTGAGAATGGCTCTCCTGTGTTCAGACCCATTACATGCAAAGTATAAGCAAGTTGAGACACAATGATGCAACCGTAATGCAACACTCTTCCTCAAATGTCGCTCAGAAAAGTTTTTTCATGCAAATTAGTTCTGCTTGATCTCAAAGCGGTGTGTTTGCTTTTAAGTGGACTGTTGTCAGAGTAAATACGACGTGTGATCAAGTTTCATCCCCTTTTTTTTTTTTTACCGAGCTGCAAAACAAACAGGACATTATTGCAGCTAAACCTTTGTTCCCAAACTGATTGTTTTCCTCTCAGATTTTTGTTGCATTATTTACAGAGTCCAAATCAGCCTTGATCAATAATTCTTCCTCTATTCGCTGCTCCTCTCATTTCCCAGGGCAAACCTGACTTAAACACATCGCTGCCGGTAAGACAGACGGCCTCCATTTTCAAGCAGCCTGTTACAAAGGTTACCAACCATCCCAACAACAAAGTGAAGACGGATCCTCAGAAAGCCGTCGATCAGCCCCGACAGGTGAACAGCCCCCGGTTACTATCACAAGCGTCTCGCTGCTTTGCAAACCAGAAAGACTGGTTTCACACACACACACACCATGATGTGACGTATTAGGTGTCTAAATGGGTTAAAGTTTACTTTTGAATTTCCTGTATTGTGAGTTTACATCTGGGAACAACATTTTTTTTTTTTTTTTCTCCCCCAGCTTTTCTGGGAGAAAAAGCTCAGTGGTCTTAACGCGTATGACATCGCAGAGGAGCTGGTGAAGACGATGGAGCTGCCTAAAGGCCTGCAGGGTAAAACCGCTCGATCCGTTAGCCAGAGCGATGACGTCTCTGGAGAAAGTCGCCCTGAAAATGTCTCGACGACTCTCCTGCAGGTGTCGGGCCGGGCTGCACGGACAAAACGCTCCTGTCGGCCATAGCGAGCGCCCTGCACACGAGCGCCGCTCCGATCACGGGCCAGCTGTCTGCGGCGGTGGAGAAGAACCCAGGCGTGTGGCTGAACACCGGCCAGCCGCTCTGCAAGGCGTTTATAGTCACAGACGAGGACATCCGGTGGGTTGTTGGTACCAAAACGATCACTCCATTAATTACTGCAATTGTGTTTCAAACAAAACAGTCGGATCTGAAATTACTTCCTGGTGAAACGTTTGGATTGGTCGGTTTCAGAGACATGCAGTTAAAAAAAGGGGAAATATCCGCTGGACTCTGGGAACAATGCTGCTTGTTTTACATCTGACTTCCATTTAATATGTTATGCTCGCAATCCAGCCAAGCTTGCTGTAACCTGATTGCTTGTTAGCAGTACCCGCAGCGACCACCGGGTCTGTGCAGAATCCGCAGCATCTGCTCCGAGCTCCAACTGTCGCCTCCTAACGACTTCCTGTTGCGCTTGTGTTGCAGGAAACAGGAGGAGCTGGTGTACAGCGTCAGGAAGAGGCTGGAGGAGGCGCTGATGGCCGACATGCTGGCCCACGTCGAGGAGGCCGCCAGCGAGGGGGAGCCCCCGAAGGACGAGGGCAACGGCAGCGAAGACATGGAGACCGTATAGCACAGGTAGCAGAGGCGCTGACGAAGGCCCCAAAGGGGACCTGTGCCTTTAAATTCATTCATACGCCTTTAGGTTTTTGCAAGAGCAGAATTATCTGATACAGCAACTCAAAGTAGTTCACAATTGGGGAAATGGAAAAAAAAAAATTTTTCATTTTTACAATTATGTTTATTTTTTAACCAAAAAAAATCTGAAAAGTGTGGCATGTATTTATTTATTTTTTATTATTTAGCCCATTTTTACTGAGTGCAACCAGTTAGTTTCAGAATTCGTTTAATTAGTTAATTATAATTACCTTTTTCACAGTGTCATAATTTGAGATGCTGAATTTTGGGTTTCTCTTACCTGCATCAAAATTACAAAAGAGGTTTGGAACTAATCACTACGTTTGATTCTACATAACACATGAGATAACCGGCAAGAAATGCTGAACTTTTATGCAATATGAATTTTTTTATTTATTTTTTTTAGATGTGCCTGTAAGTACTTCTGACCCGAGATCATCCCGCCCGTTCATACCATGTAACAGTGGTGGCAGCATCATGCTGTGGAGACGCTTGTCCTCTGCTGGGAAGCCGATCAGAGTTGATCTAAATATAGGACAATCTTGGAAGATAATCCTTTTTCTTTTTTTTTTTTTCATAAAAATTTGTCTTGAATACATGTCACCTTTTTACAGAACGTTTTTTTTTTTTTTTTTTTTTAAAGTTGAAAACCATGTATCGTTTCAAATTTTGGACTATTTTGAGTCGATATTTTACATAAATCCTAATAAAACGCTCTGAAACCTTTGCGTCCGTTAACTTCAGGTTCATGTCTAGAATAAGTGGAAGAATCAGATTCTACTCGGTCGACTGGAGTCCAGACGAAAGAAACGCTTCCTAACTCTCTGGTGATTGTTTCTCCCGGCAGGTTTGCTGTGAAGACCGATTGGACTCATTCACCTCCGCCCCCCTCATCGTAAACACGAGTGTTAACCGTAGGATTTATATTCCAGTGCGGCGCTGAAGAACTGTCCTTTAGTGTCCAGTCTAGGCGTCCACTCACTCCAGAAGACCCTCGGCCGGCCGTTTTATTACCACCCGTGATCGTCTCCAAGTGGGCCTCCGTGACTGTATTTTAGAGCGCAGATGATTTTTAATTAGTAAAGCAGACAACTATGAATGACTTAAATATTCAATATAATTTCCTTACAATGTGTCAAAGATGAGTGTTTAGTGTTAAATGTATTTTTTACTAAAATGTCTCGGATGGATTTGTGGGTTTTTTTATTTTTATTTTTTTTGCGACAATCATGTCAGATCCAAATGGTTCAGGTCAGCAGACAGCCGGCGTGTTTGCCCCCCCGTTTATTTCGGGCACCTTTTGAGGCGAATGTTTTTTGTACTGTACTGCATCTGTTTTTGGAAATTTAAAGTGAACTGTCTCAGCTCATCTTGTCATATTTTGTATTTAAATGTCTTGTTGAAATCATGCTCAGTGTTGGTTAGAGAAAAGGGGTGTGTGTCTTTAATTTTTTTTTTTTTTTTTTTAGCTTTCAGAGCATTTGGGGGTTTGGTTTTGCTTTTTTTTTTCATCACTAATCTCGGTGCTTAGAAACGTTTAAGAGTGCTTTTGTACATTTTGGTTCTGCTTTTTTTTTTTTTTTTTTTTTTTTTTTTTTTTGGTGTGTCATCACACACTCGCCGCCTCTTTTAAAAATTCATGCACAAAACCGGCGACGACAGATGGGGTGGTTTTTAATCCATCACTTTCCAAGGAGAAAGGGTTTTACAGTTTCTGTGCTGGCTCACAACATCCAGCTGAAATCGTGAAGTGCTCCACCCAACCTGAGCGGGCTGATTGCTGAAATGTGTAAAATAAATAAAAAATTGTCACTATGGAACCAAACCTCTGCATTTTGTTCTTATGCACATTTTACATAGAGTACAGCACAAATGCTTGGGGAGTTAATTGGGACTAATTGTGAAATGCCAACAGAAAGTAGTGCATAATTGTGCTGTTTTTACATAATAAAAATCTGAAAAGTGTGTCAGGCATTTTCTAATTTTTTTTTTTTTTTTTACCTTCAGAAATTATTTTGCTTCAGTCACTTTATAAACTCAAACTAATATTGCGTTCCTCTCTTCTGCAGTTTTAAAGACAACATGTATTCTGGATTTTTATTTTTTTATTTTTTTGGTCTGGGCTTTGACTGGGCCATTCTAAGGTATAATTTGATTAGTCACGGAGAGCTACTTCTCTTCAAAGTTTCGACGAGTCTCTTCTGTTACACACCTGACGTGGAATAACATGTTGATGAGGGAACTCATCCATTTGATTCAGGTGTGTTGGATAAGGGACAGGCCTGCAACTCCAGCCCCTGAATGACACTGACCTGCAAGTTTTGGACGAATCCCTGCTTCAACACACCTGAATCAAATAATTGGTTAATGACAAACCTTTGCGAAAATCTTGCTGACGTGGGACTTTTGAAGACAAGTTGTCTTTATTGTTTTTGGTGGCCTTTAGAGTAAAATCAGCTACATAGAAATCAATGGCAAAGGTTATTTATTATATTGATTAAAATAATAAAAAAAAATGTTTAGCCCATCTCCTAAAATCCCAATGTGACGAAATGTGGAAAAAGTTAAGTTGGTATGAATATCAGTCAAGGACCTTGTAGATGTTGTCCTCAGTATAGCAAATAGGTGCCACGGAGAGGGGGGAGAAAAATACTCAGAGCTGCTGCTCCTGAGTGTGATTTATCAATCTTTGCTCATCCATTTGCTGCAGATTAACAGTTAACCCGCTCGCCTCTTTATGTGAGTGTGAACAAAGTGCAAAACTGCCGTCAGCTGGACAGAGGCAGAGGACACCGGCCGCTCCTCGGGCAGGAACATGCAGACCGGGCTGAGGTTTCACATCAAGTCTCTTCACAGCTTGGAAAGGATAAAAACATGGCAACTCTGGATCTATACACAAAGGTGAGCTGGAATATATAAACATATATAAATGTAAATATTTATATCAGGCACCCAGTTTAATTTTAATTTAGGCCCTCAGATGACGGGGTTGGTAGGATCGTTGTTCTTAAAGCTGTTCATTACGTGACTGATTTCAAATTACTCGGATAAATATCTGCAGAGTTTAAATCCATCTGTTGGAGCAAATGAATAAATGAATATGTTGCCGGTGAAAAACAGTTACGGATACGGGCAGTTCAGAGAGAGGATGACCAGTGTTAATTTTTAACACAGTTTAAGAGCTTTTTGTGCTGATGGGGGTCAAATGAGCAGCCTGGGTGGGGTGAGGAAATGTGACGGCATAATTTAACAGTTTAATTTAGAAAAAAATAAAATAAAATAAATCCTGATTATAAAGATGTTTTCTCAACTGATGTTCGGATTGGCTTTCCTGCAGAATGCGTTTGCTTTTTTTTATAAGCGGTTCTGTAGTTACACGCCTGTCTGTCGCTTCGTCAGGGGGCAGGTGTGTGGGTGCCTGACCCAGAAGCAGTTTGGGTCTCAGCCACTCTCCTGAGGGACTACAAACCCGGAGACGAACAGCTTTTGCTGCAACTCCAGAATGGAAACGTGAGCCGGTTTCCCTTATGAAAACTAAGTTTGTCGCTAAATACAAATTGATTTTTGCAGCACTGATGACCTCTAACTCAATTTACTCTTGGTTAGGAGGTCCATTACTCTGTGGACTCCCCGTCCGATCTCCCCCCGCTGGGTAATCCCGACATCCTGGAGGGGGAAAACGACCTGACTGCTCTCAGCTTCCTGCACGAGCCTGCTGTGCTGCACAACCTCCGGGTCCGCTTCCTGGACTACAGCAGCATCTACACCTACTGCGGTGAGACTGAAGCACGACCAGAAGGCGGCAGAAACATTTCGGGGAATGTTATGTTTGGTAGATGAAATCTAACAGGGCTGGAAGAAGATCGAAGTACTTTTGGACGGTAATAAAAAAATAAATAAAAAAAACCCAGCGGCCTGCTCCTGGGTGCTTCTGTTTGTGTTGTTACAGCCCCGTAATAACGTCTCCAAATCATAAACTCAAAGGTTAAGACTCGGAGGGAACTCCCACATCCTCACAGTTTGTAAAACTTTTAGAAGATGTAGTTAGACTGAGGATCCTGAGAAAGGTGACGTGGGGGGAATATTCATTTAAAATGTTTGTGGAGTTAAAATTTGTATCATTTGATCCGTTTCTCACGGGCAGAAGAGATAAAGTGGTCACATGTTTCACTATACTTTGCTGGGATTTTATGTCGCATCAGGCTGACTCAGATGTATGGTGTATATCTGAGAACAACAACTCATAAGTCTTGCCACGTGTTCTAAGTTGTATTTAGGTCTGGACTTTGACTAGGCCGTTGTAACGCATTGCATTCGGTGTGGCGAAAAAATGTAGAACAACTTACCATTTTTCTTCCACTTCACTTTTCTGCACTAATTTGCATTCATCTTCGTCTTTGCATTACGGTAAATTACATTAAGAGTTGTTGTTTGTGAAATTATAAAATGTTAGTTTAATGGGTATGAAAGAACCTCTGATTTACATGGATATGATCACAACTAGAATCAAATTAAGTTTTACGGTTAAGCTAAAGATCTTGAACAAGTGTTTAAGCTTTGCTTTCCCTTTTTAACTAAAAACTGACTTCATGAATCCGCCTCTTTTACAGTTTGCTCGGTGCTTTGAAGGTTTCCTTCTCTGTCTGTCCCTGCAGGTATTGTGTTGGTAGCCATAAATCCCTACGATCAGCTGTCCATATATGGCGAGGAGGTAATAGACGCTTACAGCGGTCAGGACATGGGTGACATGGAGCCTCACATCTTCTCTGTGGCCGAGGACGCCTACCGCACCATGACCAGGTGAGAGGTCAAGGAAATGAAGACGCGTTCAGTTGTTGCGACGGCTCTTAATCTTTAGAGATTCAGAGTGTGTTTATGATTTTTGTTTGTTGAAGCACTTTGTCTTGAAATGTGCAATGTAAATACTTTTTTTTTTTATTCTCAGGGAAGAGAGGAATCAGTCCATCATCATCAGTGGGGAGTCTGGCTCTGGAAAAACGGTTTCAGCCAAATTCACCATGCGATATTTTGCTGTGGTCGGAGGAGCAGCTCAACAGACCAGCGTGGAGGAGAGGGTGCTGGCTTCAAACCCCATCATGGAGGTAAATGGAGGGGTGGAGGTGGGGGAACGGTTTCACCTTCAGGTAAGTTGGCTTGTTTTTTTT